CCACTGAATCACAAATCAGAATGGAGCTGATTTGTTTTCCCCTCTCCAGATCTCACTAGCTATATGTTTGCACATATATTTTCCAATAAAATGTTCATAAATTTTGTACTTTAAAGACAAAATCCAATGACAAATGCAACAAGTCTTTCTCTTTGTTCATGCTTTAAGAAAGGAGAATCCAGGGGATGCTGAAAGGCTCACCCAGTGAGAGATATGAAAATAGGGTTGCTACTGCATTTTAAGGGGCAAGGGCACCAGCGCCTAGTGCTGGATCAAGAACTGTGAGTATCTGGTACTTTGTGAGATAGATTTACACATTAAGGGACTGTCCCACTTCACAAAACAGGAATACTTCTATGAATAAAGAAAAGTAGAGCAGTAGGCTGTGTGATTATTGACCCCCAAACTTTGACTAGCCAAAGATTTTTATATTAGACAGACTCTAACCAACTCAAGTATCTCCTTAGGAAAGATGTCTGTAACAACATAGCTTTAAGAAATAAGCAGGTGGAGGCAAAGTAGGGGGAGAGGCTAAGTTCTTAAAGAGGATCCCCTGGAATGTGTGGGCTTCTCCAACAGGACACTGACAGGACACTGACAGACAGGTCCCCAAACATGTCACAGAACAACGGAGCAGCACTTGTGTCATTGTGACCAATGTGGCACAGTGGCCAGTGCCCCTGAGCCCAAGGCATTTGCTGGATACATTCTCTGTTCTGATGTTCAGGATACAGCTGCCTCAGTGGTACTTTCTGTCCACTACAGTGTGTAAGTCTTCTTAAAATAAAGTTGATTAGTAATAAATTTTAGGCTGATACATTTTATTTTTGATGAAATGAATCTGTTCTCATACAATCCACAGCAATAGGATAAAAAAAATGCTCTTCTGTTTTTTAAAATTTAAGTTTATTCTTAACTGTTAACACAAAAAGATTCAAGTTGGAGACCTGAAAGGGTTACCACATGATGAGGTTTCTTTATATCCATTTTATTCCACCAACCTGGGTCAGTCTAAACACATATCTATGATAGAGAATATATCATTGCACTTCCTCCTAGTTCTCTCCTGAGTACTGGGAAAGGAACTCGGGGCCTTGCACGTGTGAAGCAAGACCTCTGTCTCTAGACCACTTCTCTAATGCTTTTCCAGCTTCTTGAAATACACGTTTCTCTTTTTTTTTCTTTTCTTAAGCAGAATTTCTCTGTAAAATAGTCCTAGCTGTCCTGGGACTCATTTTGTAGGCTTGCTTCAAACTCACAGAGATCCTTCTGAGTGCTGGGATGGATGGAGTGTGGCCACCATGCCCAGCTATAAAATGCATTTCTTGAAAGTCAAGACAGGTAGCTATTCACCTTCTCAAAGCTGCTAAAAGGCACAAAGGAAGGAAAAGAGAAAGAGAAAACATTGGACATAAATAAATTCTGAAACGCAAACCTGAAGGTGTTTGTTTTGTTTTTGTAGGGAGGAAATGGAGTAGTATGCTTGAACCCCTTGGAAGGGGATATTACAGGACTTTAGTTTTCTGCTTAACACAGAGAGGCATTAGTTTCCACCCAATCACCACAAGAACGGTGTGCTCTTGTTAGCCTCGGACTCACAGAAATCCACTGGCCTCTGCCTCCCAAGTGCTGGGATTAGAGTCATGTGCTATCACCCACTTCCTAGCCATGTCTAGCTTTTTATGTGTGTGCTGGGGATAAAACTCAGGTCCACATGTTTTCTAGTGAGCACTTTGATATTCGATCCACCTCCTCGTCCTCCATATTCTCTATTCTATATGTACAAATTCAATCTTATCTTACTGGTTTTGAAAATTAAATTTAAATAGCAAAGAAGAGAAGTATATATTAATGCACTCAAAAGACATTTTCTCGTATTGCTGGTGTGATTTTAATCCTAAAGACAAAGGTAATTGAAGACGAAGAGGTCCAAATCAAGATCTCTCAGTGTAATGCTGTGATTTTACATCTTTTCTTAAGATAATTGTGAAACTTCCAAAAAATCAGTGAACACATTCGTAAAAGTGAAAAATTAACTTCTCAATATGATAACTGCTCTAAAGTAAAGAGAAACTATTCCTTTTATTAGTTAAAAGCATGGGTGCTGTTCTTACCAATCAATAGTCACAGTGAGGGTCAGAGATTTACAGCCTTCAGGCGTCTTTAAACACACTGAAGCAAATATGAGCTTCGTGAGCAGTTTGTTAATCAGCATTTGTCATTTGGATTTGTGTACTTTAGCTTATTAACGCTCTGCACATGACCTCTATGGAAAATAAAACTGTTCCCATATTTTAGATTGCAAACTGGCAAGATCTCTTGCCTTTGTATTTGCAAATAAGGGGCAATGTATTTGTGCTGTTTGACACATACGCAGTTTGTCATTCATTATTCATTGTGTGGACACCCTTACAATTCCTAGCATCCATTTTGGCTTTCTGTTGTTGAAGAAATTACACAGAATCTAGAGACTGTACCTGGAAGTGATACTTGCCGTGTTTTCATTGATAGCAGAGTGATCGCTTTCCTGGGGATTATAGAACAACAGCCCAGCAGAGAAAGCCCTCTAAGGGTACATCTCCCCCAGGGGAAGAAATGACCCCCAGCACAGCTATGTTTCTACCACATGTGTTCTCTAAGAAATACAAGGGCAAAGTGGTTAGAAACTGCTTAGGAAACCCAGACCTGCACCTCTCCAAGCCAGTCTTCGGCACAACTTCAGTGTCAAAAGGTGTGACCTAGTGTGATGCCTGTGAAGCTTGTGCTGGGCTTGCTGCAGCTGAACCAGAAAGTCTTCGGTCAGGAGCAAGATGTGCCGGATGGTGTGGCCAAGTCCAAGCCTTCTTACAAAAACCAGCCTCCTAAGTCCCAGACTCGCCTCTTCAAATGCACAGAAAAGAGCTGCCAAAAATTGATGCAAAAATATTTCAGGATAGGACAAACACATGCAGCACTTTATTGTTGTTGATTTTTAGGCTAACATACAAAAATGGGTTTCATTATGGTGTTTTCCTCTATGTATATTATTCATACACAACAATTTAAAACACAGCAACGCAGAGCAGATCTGTGCTAGGGATCAAATTCATGTGTAATAAATTAGGTAATTTAGTGTCTTAGATGCTCATTTTCCTCATCTGAAAAATGGGATAGTTGAGCTGTTTAGCACCATGGTTCCTGACATGCTCAGTCTCCATTAGGACTGGCTGTTATTATTGCTGTTATCCTAACCTCAGAGAACCAGCCCATGAAAGCCATTCTTTTCTGTCTTTATGTGAGATGTGGGCTATGCTCTTTCTGGAGTTCTCTATCAAGAGACTGCAAATAATAATGTTATATACAAATGAAAGAAAACACAAGATCTAGTAAATCATTAACATCTACACACTAATTTTGTGAAAACAAACCCTCACAGGGTAAAATATGACTTGATTGTTAGACATGAAAATAAAATTACAAGCAACATGTAAAAACCGTTTGCATTTACACATATTCTACTAATATCATTCAATGATTTAATTTTTTTATTTATCAGCAGTCCTAGGAGGTACTCTCCTAATAGTTATGTAAGCACCATGGTTGTTGTTTTCCACAAATCTGCAATAAAAGCTAACAACATTCAAGCCGGGTGGTGGTGGCACACGCCCTTAATCCCAGCACCCGAGAGGCATGTGGATCCCTGTGAGCTTGAGGCTAGATTGGTCTACAAGAGCTAGTTCCAGGACAGAGTCTAAAACTACAGCAAAACCCTGCCTCAAAAATCAAAAACAAACAACAAAAAACTAACAACATTCAATTTTTAGTAAAAATTTCTACAAGGGAAAAATATTTTTCCTCATTTTAAAATTGATTCGTATATATTAAAATGTAACTGATTAATCCAGATGAAAGGGGAGGTGGGAGGAACTGGGAAGAGCAGAGGGAGAGGAAACAAATAATCAAAATATATTATGTGAGGCAAAAAAATCTATGCTCAATAAGAGGGAATATATTTATATCTTATTAAACTGACAATCAGAAATTATTCACATCTTGTACATTTCTAATGCCTTTTTGACTATAAAGTTAGGGACAAGGTGTGTTTTGTTTTTTTTTTCCCCAGTTATAAGGGAAACATTTGTCAAAACCATTCTTCCAACCCACTAAGCTGGATGTCAACAGCCATTGCTGAAACCCCCATAGGTGTTCTGCAGACAGCACTATGTGCACACCCTTGACATTTGCTTCCTTCTGGATTTATCCCATCATGTGGCCTTGACCTTGTGATGCTGTGGATGTGATAATCCTGAGGTCATGTTAAATATCACTTAACACTGTAATTCAAGAAAACAATAATGAAATCTATACATACTAATAAAATTAAGTTGAAAATGCTGACAAAATACAGTTCAAAGAATACATGTTAATAGGTATACATGTTTCAAAGCTATACAAAGTACTATTTAAAAGTGAACATGTTATAAAAATACACACATGAGATTGATTGGGTTGTATGTGAGTATCCATAGTCATGCACACACACATACATAGTTATACATACATATGTGTTATCTTTAGGATAATGATGACTTCCGAGGGAGGAAGGAGAGCTGGAAAGACAGATTCGTAGTTAAGAGTGCATACTAAGTACAGTTCCTGCAGAGGACTGAAATTTGCTTCCCAGCACCCATGTTGGGTGGTTCACAATCACCTGAAGCTTCAGCTCCAGGGAAATCAGGCATTTCTGACTACTATGGGCACCTCTACTCATATTCCACACTCACAACTAAAAGTAACAAAATAAATATTTTTTAAGAAGAAAGAAAAGCATAAAAGAGAGGAAAGTAAAGACTCCAGATTGAGAACTTAATTTTATATGGGAAACACCTTGGTTCTAAAAAGTGAAGCAAATTTGACAGAATATATTTGTTAAAGTTTGATGTTAATTGTCATGTTTATAGTAACAGCGGGCATTCTTTTCAATAAGTTAACATGTCTCATATAATTTTTGCACGAATAACTTTATTATTAACTGCTGATGAATACTAGAACATATCTGGGTTCGTATGACAAGACTAGTTCGATCTAGAGATGCTTTCTCTTCATTTGAAGGCTCCTTCTCAGTGGGTTGTTTTGATCACCGTATCTGTCATCTTAACGCCAAACCTGGTATTCTGCTCTGGGTCCAGATCCTCAGGCTTTAGAAGCAGCTTCAAGTTAAGAAGAGGCTGTTTTCCACAGTTCTCTGAAAACTGAAGCCGCTGTCTTCCCCTGAAAATCGCTTGCCATGTGTGAAGCAACCGCATGCCAAAATTCCTGGCCGGTTGGACGGCCCAGGAAAGCTCAAATTGGTCCTGAGAAGGGTAGCCTCACGGTACACATAGAACATTTAGAAGAGACAACACGAAGGAAATTGAGGTTTGATGGCCAAAATCAGCACAATGAAAACAACCAATAATGAATATTGATTGCTAGAATTCAGATTGCCAGACATTCAAAAGAGATAGAGACAGTATTCCATTTTCACTCTGAATACCACTTAGCAAAGGAACCATTTAAAAAATAAAACAGTATGGAGGGGAAAGAAGAATTATGAAGAATATCTAAACCACTGACTAACCCCCCGTTTGTTCCTGATAAACTTCGATCACGTCGTCCTCCTCCATCTCCAGTTCTTCTGGGGTGTGGTTATCAGCAATCTTCTGGCCTTCAAAGAGAAATTTTAGTGAATTCAATGGGACGCCCTGTCTTTGACAATAGGATTCTTTGAGCTTCTTGAGTTGCGTTGTCATTTTCACTTTGAAGTGTATCTCATTTCCATCCTGTGCAACCACTTTGACTTTAATAACTTCTTCTTTCTTAGTCTCGAAGACCTCACTTGAAGGTTTTGTCTCCTCATCAGACATGGCGACCAATGGTTTCTCCAAAGATTCCCCAAAGAGTCTCCCGTAGCAGCAGCTGCCCGCGTCGGGGTAGAACTTCTGGGGCTTACAAACCAACTCTTCCCAACAGCCCTGTACATCTTGCGTCACTTCCGGGTTCCAGAAGGTTACCTTCTGTAACCATTGTGGGGGAGGGGTTGTGGTAGCAGATAGGCAGTCCTGGGCAGTCCCACATTCCAATCTACAAGAAAGGGGCAAAGAGAGGGCTCTATTCTGTATTATTTTAAGTTAAAATTGAAAAGTAAATCATAAAAAAGGAGAGCTTTGTCAATTTTAAAATGGAAACTTCACCCATATACATTGTTTGAACAACGTGGCAGTGAGTGGAGCAGAACTAGCGCCCTTAAGAGTCAAAGAGAAGTGAAATCCCATTAGCCATGCTTGTCTCTACAGAGAGATAAGCTAGGCAGTGACCAATGCATTCTTAGCAACGGCGGAGAATGTTTTCCTTCATTACAGTAGCAAAGATGCGTAGGAATAAAAAAGAAAAAAATTCCACATACAATCACTCATAAAGTCTCTCCATAATTTTACATATACGTGCAATGTCTATGTGAATACATGTTTTTAACACATCCCTGTGCATATTAGTACATACTTACTGCTTGTGAACCTTTCTGTACTGTATAGTTGATTTTGACAGAAAGTTGTTGGTAACTGTATAGGCTTTTCATATGAATATTTTATAACAATCAATTTCTACCTTCTATATCTCACCACCACACATACTCCTTCAAAAGAGTCTCACTACCTTTCTTAGAATGGCCTTGAACTCATAATCCTCCTCTAAAGCAGGGAACGAAGCTGAAGACTTCCAAATGCTAGGATTATAGGTGAGTACCAATCAGCCAATTGGTGGTGGTGGTGGTGGTGGTGGCGGTGGTTGTGTGTGTGTGTGTGTGTGTGTGTGTGTGTGTGTGTGTGTGTGTGAACTTGACACAGCCTCAAATCCCCTGAAAATGGAGTCTTACTAAAGTAATTGTCTTTATCAGGTTGGGTTGTGGGTGTGCTGTGGGAGTTTGTCTTGATTAGTGGAGGTGGGCACAACCCAGTGTGATAGTCTATTAAGAAAACTAGCTAAGTATGAGCCTGTAAATCAGATAATAATCCAGAAATCACCATTACTCTGTGTTTTCTGCTACAAGCTCCTGCTTGAGTTCCTCTTTGAATGGAATCATAAACCAAATAACCCCTTGGTTGCTTCTGGTCTCAATGTTTATTATAGCAACAGAATATTGGGTATCTCTCCTTCAATTGCGCTTTATTCTGTCAAGACAGGTTTGTGTAGCCTGGCTGGCCAGCAAACTCCAAGACTTATCCTTTTATTGCTTCCCTAACTCTGGGTTTGCCCCCGTGCTTAAGATCTGAACTCTTAGTTCACTTGAAATGATCAATAATAACCCCACCATAGTTTTCATTGAATCTTAATATGGAAATTCAAGTATAAAATATTCTTGATCACGAAGAGTTGTCTAGACGACAGACTAGACTTCTCAGCTAGTTTCAGCCTCAGATACTCCCATGCCCAATGCCTGTATTATCCTAATCAGCTGTTAACTTTTCCAGTGAGGGGTATGCATATGATTTTACCTGACCTATTTTGGAATTAGAGGAACATGGTTCAACATTAAAAATACTTAAAGCTAAATTCGTAGGCTATGACTAATCTATTTCACTATTCTTACATAATTCTTTCTAAAGTGTCAACAAGGCACATTAATTTAATTTTCACAGCAATAATATTTAATACGTTGATGTATACTCATGATGAGTTGCTGAGAAATCATTAGGAGAAACTGCTTTAGGATACCTCAAAAGTAGATTATTGTCGATTGTTTTGTTGGCCTAAATCCCCCAAAAGACTTTTGATCCACAAACATCTGTCAGTGTTCAAATTAATTATAAACTGTATCTTTAAAGACAGGGAGATCTACGAAAGAGGTAAGAGATGATGAACTCCACACATACTGGGCAGCAAGTAAAATTTAAGTGAGAGTAAATAGCAATAAGTACCCAAGCTTATTGAAATCTAGGCGTGATAGAGTCTCAATTTGACCCACTCTCAATGGCGATGTCACAATTCACACTTTCAAGTTCAGTGAGTATTGATGAGGTTATAAACATATGGCTTCCTCCCTTGAAATTATTCCTCCATGCAAACACACCTCTCAATAGCCTAGCAACTCATCCGCTTTCAATGTTGGGTGACTATCTCACATTCCCTTAGACAAGAGAAACTATCCTGACACATCTTCCACACAGACCTTCCCAAGGAATTAAATTCAATCTCCCGTCAATGCTCAGAGCAAGTAGTGTTCATCAAAGAGTTTTTTGAGTCATATGAAGATAAATCCTTTGCTTGAACTACTTTTGATGGAGACAAGCTCATCTTCTAGGGTAGAAACAAATTCTAGATCAAAGCCTGAGGTATAAAATGAAAGTTATATGTGGTTCCTAAAATGCCTTGAGTTACTACAATTTCTTGATCAATGGCAAATATACTATGGTACTGTAGGCTTGATATGGTTAAGGTCCCAACACTCGCAATAAATGTGATAAGCTTTAAAAAAAAAAAAGGAGAACACTAGCCAGGTGTGGTGATGGGCATCTGTAATGCTGTCAGTTGGAACTGAGACAGAATAGTGAGTTTAAGGTCATCGTGGGTTTATAGAGAAAAAAATCAAAATGCTAAAAATAAGAATAAGCTGAAAACACAGAGAATATTTAATTGATTGAGTGTTAGAGAAAATGGTGACAAGAGATGGAAGGGAAAACATCTGATCAGGAGATCACACATGTGGTGCTGCCAACTGATCAAGAAGGAAGTGGTGTGTTCCTGCAGCACTCTCTGATGAAGAACAGAAAGAGGAGGAACCATTTTAAATAGCTGGACCTTGTGGTGTCGTAGGAATATACCCCAGTCATCTTATTTTCATCCTGAAACTCTTGGGAACTGTAATTGTTGGAAGCGTACACATGTGGTCATTAAGATACGTTTTAAAATTGTGAGCAGTATCAACCATACCATGCATGACACCCACTGCCCATGCTGCCAATTGTCTTTTCCTGTGTCTCGTCAAGACTTGCAGCCTTTGTCTATTGATAAGCCTTGTTCTTCAAAGTCTCTACATCCTGGCAAATGAAAACTGAAATGATGCAGGAAACTGGTGAGTGAAGGAAAAAAATCCACATCAGATCTACTTCCTTATCTTATTGATTATCTCTGAATTGCTACCTCTGCAATAAAATGAGGCCACCAGATTGCACATCCTCCTCACAGTTCAGTGGTCCTCACCCAAAAGAGAAGCCCCGTTATCAATGTAACACACCACAAAAATATTCATAAGGCAGAGGTTGCAACAAAATCCAAGTTAGTGGGTACATCTCATGGTATTCACTGAGTGTCTGAATTCCAGGTGAAGCAGAATGTTCTGGTAGAGCAACAGGTAGCTGTGAGTATACTTGTTAACAGGCATTATATTTTTAGTTTTCTTTATTACCCAGTAAAAGGTACAGTAGACCCACCCACCCATACACACACACATACACACACACACACACACACACACACACACACACACACACACACACTTCATTGCTGACATCCAGCTCACCTCTGAAACACATTCTAACATGCTAATGTACCTGTAGACATTAGGATAAGTATTATGATTATGAGTAAAATTACTGCTCATGAAAAGTATGTGTATTGGACAAAGAAATGACTTTTAAAAATCTCTGAGGATGTTGATATTTAGAGGATTGAGTAAGGTTTAGGAAATATGTTGAAGTGTCCTGTTTTTGTTGGTGGTGGTGGTAGTGCTGGTGGTGGTTTTTCAAGATAGGGTTTCTCTGTGTAGCCGTTGCTCTCCTGAAACTCACTCTGTAGACCATGTTGGCCTTGCACTTACAGTAGCCTTTCTCTGCCTCCTGAGTGCTGAGATATTTTATTGCTAAAGGCTTAATAGTTTGTCATCTTGACCCCATGAATGTATATAAATGATCAGAGTGTGAAAATAACTGTGCTAAAATAGCCTTGTCAGAACATGTGACTTCCTTCGACGCCTTCAATTTCTCTGTATTGCTGAAGTATTCACATTTCTTTAAATCAATAACCATATCCTAGTTTTCTTTTTCATCTTTCTCCTCTGGCATATATGACTGATATGACAATTTTTTATTCACTCTACTTTACCCATTGCCAACTGTCACTATTTTCCATTAAGATCTCTAAGTTCATTTATGAATAGATTAGTCAACACACAAAACATGTTGTGAAGCACCAAGGCATATCATCTACAGAAGTGGGGTCACAGTTTCCAGAGCTAGCAGTCTTTCACTGATAGACCTCATCTTCCTAGCTGGTACTTGACTGTGATGTAAACAACTAAGATCTGCATCCTGGGAACCAGAACCTGTGCAAGGAATCAGACACAGGCAATAAATGAGCTTGTCGTATCAAAATGACCCAAAATCTCAGTGACACTTAATAAAGCTTTACTGCATGGTCTGAGAGTTGTTAAATATTATTACTACCTGAATGTATCTAAAAGACATATTCATAGAAACTCCACCATATGCCAGGCAGTGGTGGCGCATGCCTTTAATCCCAGCACTCAGGAGGCCGAGGCAGGCAGATCTCTGTGAGTTCAAGACCAGCCTGGTCTACAAGAGCTAGTTCTAGGACAGGTACTAAAGCTACAAAGAAACACTGTCCCCCCCCCAAAAAAAAGAAAGAAAGAAACTCCACCATACTTTATATATTTTATTCACATGCTCAAAGTAGCAAATTAATACAACAAACACCTAGGGCATCCTGGAATAAATCTGTCCTTACATCATTCTCATAAAAAATAAAGAACATTTTTTTATAATTTATTCACATGCTCAAAGTAGCAAATTAATACAACAAACACCTAGGGCATCCTGGAATAAATTTGTCCCTACATCATTCTCATAAAAAATAATAAAGAGCATTTTTTTCTGGAAGCCATAGCTAATGAATACATAAACTGTGGAGTACATGAACATATTTTGTGGTTTCTTGACAAAGCTCA